TGTTCACCACAATTTGAGACTGCAGCCTGGAGTCTTTACATAAATAGTTATATAAATAACTAGCGGCCCGCTCCGGCTCCGCTCGGGTCTTTAACAAAAATGTCACCGATATTTGACGTGGTTTTATTTTTTTAAATAAAAAAACACTTATTGCGGCATAACTATAATAGTTAGACATATGCTGTCGCGACACTTTTTGTAAATAATAATATGTTCTACAAAGACGTAGTACGTTATTTTATTCTATCATCAATAGTTTTCGCAGGGCACGCGATGTAAAGAATATTTTAGGTAATTTTTTTACACCTTGGGTTACATCATTGGAGTTTCAGTAAGGATCCCTAATTTTTTCAAAAAAGATTATAGCCTATGTCACTTAGGAATAGTGTAGCTTCCAAACAGTGAAAGAATTTTTCAAATCGGTTCAGTAGTTTCGGAGCCTATTCAATAAAAACAAACAAACAAATCTTTCCTCTTTATAATATAAGTATTACTACCTGACCCAGCAGACTTCGTAGTGCCTCAGTCGATAAATAAAAGACCTAAACTTTTGTATCAAATAAACTTAAAACAAACAAAAGGAATCCGTCCGACGGGGACACATCAAAGGGAAAACAAAATTGTTATTTTTATTTAATTACGAGCATTTTCATATTTACCTACCTTTTAAACCTTCTCTGGACTTCCACAAATAATTCAAGACCAAAATTAGCCAAATCGATCCAGCCGTTCTCAAGTTTTAGCGAGACTAACGAACAGCAATTCATTTTTATATATAGAGATATACCTATAGTATAGATTAAACAACGAGCAAAGAAAAATGATCAGCATGATGTCTTAGCAATGCCAGATTTACTGGACAATAACATTGTGTCAACGTGAAGTTATAGACTAGGACGCGGGGAGCGACGACACTGTCTCGACAACGGAAAGGCAATTTACAACAACAATAAAAGTATCGTTTTTATTGGCGAGCACACAATTCGTTTGGACAGCTGTAATTGCAAACTCGTATTGTCTATTGGTTTCGTTATTTAGATCCAACAGTTATAGTGTAGCGCTAAACTGCCTGTTTTAATTATTGCNACGTGAAGTTATAGACTAGGACGCGGGGAGCGACGACACTGTCTCGACAACGGAAAGGCAATTTACAACAACAATAAAAGTATCGTTTTTATTGGCGAGCACACAATTCGTTTGGACAGCTGTAATTGCAAACTCGTATTGTCTATTGGTTTCGTTATTTAGATCCAACAGTTATAGTGTAGCGCTAAACTGCCTGTTTTAATTATTGCTTTCTTTTGTATTTGATCGCGAAAATTATTTTAAAATGTTTCTTAGTGGTAAGTATTAGATAGCAGGATTTTATCTGTACTATCCTCCACTTAGTTGAGTATTAAAAGTGATATAGGCGCTAATGCAAAACAGTTTAAGCTTCACTGACATTCTTGGTGCGATGTTTATGGACTTCGGTAATCGCTTAAAGCCAAGTGAGCCGAAAGCCTGCTTGTGCCCGACCATGACCTTAGCTAATAAATATTTGTTTAGCTAATAATTGTTCACGGTGCACTCAACATTAATAAATGTTGTAAACTAAACCTGTATATTAACTTTTCTTAAAAATATGTCGTTTGCAGAAATTTCGTAAATGCACTGAGAAAGTATTGGAATAAAATCTGATTGTAAATACGGCGCTCTTATATTAATGTAGACCGCTTCTGTATATTTTCTAAATATCTGAGTTAAAAAATCAAGTGTAATTGTAATAAAACCGCCAACTAGATAAATGTTCTTAGAACTCGAAATCTTCTACGCCATGTAATATCAAAGTTCGCGGTAATATTAATATGTTGTTCTAATTGCCACATCTGTTAATTATATCTACATACAAAAGTCATTGGTATTTAAATTTCCACCCACGTTATTACGAAACATCCCTCCGTGCCGGGTGCGATGGTTAAAGCGTGTAGGATTCCATCTAAATCCGTCCTTTGAAAATGGAGAAATGTAGTGCCATAGTGCTGGCTACGAAAGGCCAGAAATTGAGTTACTGTCGCCTCTGTCACGTAGTCACATACGACCAACTCATAAATTTGGGAAACAGAAATGAACGTTCACTTAGCCCTAAAGCTCGCAATGTGAAATTCAGCCGAGAATTTAAACATTACTGTGAAAATGTTAATTTTAATTTCCTTATTACTTATTATACATTTCATGGTAAAGAATTAGTTTAATTGATTCTAATATTGAAAACTTAATTGAAGAAGTTTGTTACCTTATATTTACAATTTATATCTACATAAACAAAAATCCCTTATGTACTTTAACTCTTCGGAATTCTATTGAATTTGATGACTAGAACAACTCTTTCATCTAATTTAAACCAATCTTCTCGTGTTGAAAGTCCATTAAAATTAATAAGCAAAGTGGACAAACAATTACTTTTAATGCAATCTACGTCGTAGGATGAATGTCTTTGGGAATTATTCCGCGTAGACTTAGATGTAATTAGTTTTATTTTATCAATTTATTTTAGTCGTTAATTTAAAATATTGTAACCTATTTGAATGTTCATAATATTATGATACTATTAGTTAAGATATAAAAAAATACATTTGGAGAAAAGGCTTTTTTTTATTCCCTTGATATTGGTGGACGAATTCACAGTCCACCTGGTCTGAAGTGGTTACCGGAGCCCATAGACAGCTACAACGTAAACGCTGTCACCGGCACATCCGGGTGTCTTCGTTTAGGGAGCTACTCAGATAGTCACGATTAACCTCAAAAAATGTCCACGCCTCTCTTTTCAAGATGTTAATAGCTAGAGGAGACTGAGAATCTATGAAATGTGCCGTCATTGTTGCCACGTCCACTCCAGGAATACAGGAGGCCTAATTACCATTAATTAATTAACTTTCGGCGTTAAAACAAAATGTTCTTTTCAGAAAACATGACTATTTTCAAAGAGGTCATGATCTAAATTCAGGACGTTCGATGTTCTCGATTAATCTGACAATATCAAACTTCAAAGCGTGAAGGCAAGTCTGATATTTTAAAAAAAACCTACTAAAGTGGACTGACCGTTTAAATGTACGCTAATCCTAGATTGGATAGCAAAGCTACTTGCATGGGAACTCCTCAAAGGTTCCTAAATTCTTGCTAAGGAAAAGGCTTCCAAGGGAGCTTTTAAACCACAGAAGGCTACGGGCATCGGAATTTAGTTTAAAATGAGGGGCTGCATCTAATTACCAATGGCAAGATAAAACCTACGTCGGAGGCGAAGAGCATACCCGTCCAAGTGTGGTTTAAGCGCCGAATGTCCAATCTAGGCAGTCCACACTGGATCTGTAGTTTTCCAAATGGTGCAGTTGCTGATCTATGGTTAATCGGGATAGCACGGGTCGGAACTGAAACGATGGCAGAATATCACTACTGCGAATAAAACTTAAGACACATTGGAGCATATGCTCGTGGCCTGCTCTTCATGGTAGTTGCTGTGCCGTATCCTCGTCGTGCAGAGCGGAACAGACTGATGGCTGCCGAGCGTCATGGTTCTGACACTTCACGGCGACAAGTTGTGGTAAGTACCTAATATTACTAGTGGTAGGACCTCTTGTGAGTCCGCACGGGTAGGTACCACTACCCCGCCTATTTCTGCAGCGAAGCAGTAATGCGTTTCGGTATGAAGGGTGGGGCACTCGTTGTAACTATACTGAGAACTTAGAGCTTATTTCTCAAGGTGGTTGGCGCATTTACGTGGTAGATGTCTATGGGCTCCAGTAACCACTTAACATCAGGTGGGCTGTGAGCTAGTCCACCCATCTAGGTAATAAAAAATTAAATAAAAACACTTTGTAGTTTGTAGAAGCACGGGGGGGGAAGAAAAACGGGTGTGAGCGAAGTCTTTCTTCTCTGCACATACCAATTCGAGGACGTGAAGCTAAGGACCAGGGTGGAAATTGGAGTACTGGACACTGAAGTATTCATGTGTTACGGTTTGAAGGATGGAATAACCCTTAAAGAATACAATCGAGACTTTGATCTACCACATTCTCAAAATGGAGGCCATTTAACACTGAGTGTACCATGAGTTTGTATTGCCAGCTAGAGCAATAATATTTTCATTTAAAAATTTTGGCAGTTCTAGAGATATTGAAAATGAAGGGAAAATTATCAAACTTAACAAATAAAAAAAAACGTCTATGAACTACATTTTACAGTGTAATTACTGTCCTAGCTCTTTATTGAAAAAGGATAGGAGTAAAAAATATATTAAATGTCATTGCTGGTATCTTTATAAAGTTGCTCTCAATAGATATACGTGTAGATAGATACATTATATTCTGATACTAATAATATAATTTGCCAAAATCTAAATCATACCTAGGTAGAAAACTTATGGCTCAAGTAATGGTTAGTGAAAATGGTTACATATGAAGAACAACATTGGCATGGAAACAAAAGGCTAATACCTAAACCACTTATTCTTATATTATTATCATTCGGATGCCGACCTAACTAAATGACTAAGATCCATATACCGGCTAACATGAATCTGGCTGTAAGCTCATCTAAACCTGGCTTATTTATTTGATTTAATAACTGTTATAGATACGTTTTAAATGACATGATAAATCAAATCCATCAAAATGTGACATTGGAATCAAGTTTAATATTTGGAGGTTCTTTCAGGCGTAAAGCTCGCATCCCCTTCAACCCTACACACTAACGAGCTTGGCGGCTGTTACATAAACTTTTTACGTTAGCTTTGAAATCCATTTTCCTCACTTCGGTCACGTGAAATATCGTTGTCCCCGCTTTTTGAGACGTAGATCACCTTATACGTTTTTAATGAGTCCTAATACGTTTTTTTTAGATTCCTACAATTCCAGAAAACTTTGAATAGATCTATTATATTTCGAAAATGCCCTAAGAAAATAATTAGACAAAAAATATTATTCGAAGTTGATATATTTTAATTCAACATTGAAAGAATGCATTTTGCACCTTGTCTATAAACAATAACTTAATTATTATGTTTGATCATAGATATCACTTCCGAAATTGTATTTACAATTTTATATTCTATTAACAGTCATTTAATGAATGAACTAATGTTTTAGTTCCGAAATTTATCATTTTATACAGCACTCACTAATGCAGTTTAATTTTATAAATCCACCGATCTCACCAAATATCACATACAAAACTTATTTTTATAACAAAAGCTCTATTAGTTTCGATATAGTAAGGTCGTTAGCCACTCCGGCCTCTGCTGTTGTGTCTTGTATTCTGTGGGGCTGAGAGCGAGTGGCGATGCTGCATCTGCTAAGGCGACCGAGGAAGATGTTTCAGTGACAGCTATACTTGGTTTTCCTTTTAAAATCGACCGTAATTCATCATTTTCTGCAGCCCTTGTCCTTTGTAAATTTTCACGAGTTTCTTTCATTCTAGATAATTGTTCGCGTAGAGCTCTGTACTCCTCTAAAAATTTCTCCAATTGTGATGCTCTAAAATCAAAATCATCCAACGTCTGACCTGCGCGAGAGTAGTCTCGAAGCCCAGATAGGTCTAGCAAGGGCGTCGCGGACGGAACAGTCGGTTGCTCCCTCGAAGGCGAAGCGGGAAGGCTTGGATTACGCCTTACTCGGCTTCCACCAGTAGAAAGATCTAAAAAACTATTAGACCGCCTACCCGACGATCGTCGTGACTTTTCATAACACCTATCAAGAAAAGATGCAGAATCTCCACCAGAACTATTTCTACGACTATTGAGGAGTGGACTTCGACTGTCGCCCTCTTTTCTTCGAGGAATTGTGTAAAAATGATAGGGATCGTGCTTCATCTCGCTTTGCAAATAGCTTGAGGTACCCAAAGTACTCATTTCTATTAGATCAGGATAGTTTTTTTCACTGTCGCTACCGGAGAGGTCATTGTCCAAACGATCCCGGGGTCTCGAACGATGACAAGGTTTCGAATTATTATTAAATCTCTTATTGTCCGGCAGGATTTCTAAATGCGGATTCATTATTCCTGCTGAATTTGAGCTTTGGATCGATTCTGGGGTTGCGTCACATCTGAGGACAATACATTATTTGAATTAAAAAAGGGTTTTTGATTGTAAATGAATGAATGTAGTGAAATGAATTCATTTGTTTCAAAGGACCCTACAACGCTTATTTATCACCTACGTGGGCCCTCACTATTTGTAAATGTATTTTACAGGTAATTACGGAAATAATTAATTTTTCACACACAAATGCTTCGCGATAAATAGGTACGATGATGTACAGCCCCTTAGGCTTACAATAGTCTTACCATCCAGGAGTACCGCACTTCTATCTGCTTTTGCTGCTAAACAGTTATGCGTTCTGGTTTGAAGGGTGGGACAACTATACTTGAGACCTTAAAACTTATATCTCAAGGTGGGTGGTACATTTACTTTGTAGATGTCTATGGGCTCCAGTAACCACTTAACAGCAGGTGGGCTGTTAGCTCGTCCACACATCTAAGCAATAAAAAAAATTATTACATTTAGGACTCTGACCTCTTATTATATAGTAGATTGGCCATGAGTTTGTCTGCCTTTGCCGCAACAAAATATAAAAAAAAAAAAGATAGTGTATTTAATATTTTAATATTGCGAGAATTGGTAATAGATTGCCAACAAATTAAATCGTTAACATCACTTTACAAATGAAATAAATACTATCGTAAAATTATGACAAAGAAATTCCGAATCAGAAAGACAATATAAATCGCGTATCTTACCGTAAATTGTATTCGCTATATTGAGGTATGTGTAAATCTTGTTCTACGCTAACTTTTCTTGTTATTTGTTCAAAATCTGATCTTCGCCAATTTGGTTCAATAGGTGGAGATATCGCACATTCCCTTTCCTCTTGCAAATCACCTCGCAGATATCCTTCTAATTCATCTTCTGGGTCGTGTGATGGAACGTTTCTATAATCGCCTCTTTTACGATTGTTGTCATTAGGTAGTATCTTTGGTACTTCGACTATATTTTTTATACCAGCTTCAATTTTCTCATATGTATCGTCACGATGACTTGTTGTTACAATTTGTTGATCCCATCGATCCACTTGTCTTTTTTTATAAAAACCCATCACGTACATTACTGTTGTTAATATAACTAATAGAAGGCCAATAAATCCAATTAGGCCTACAATTACATTAAAGATAGAAAATGCTGTTTTTTCCAGTTTTTTCTCTATGACTAAATTCAAAGTAAGTTCAGCCTTTCCTGCCCGATTTTCGGCACTACAAGTATACGATCCAGCATCTTGAATATCAGCAGATACTATTGTTAAATTACTCGTATGACCTTCACTACGTAACATAAAAGCTCTACCAGAATTGACATTAGAAGTAGTGTTTGCCAGTAATCGACCAGCACGTACCCAGCGAACTCTCGGTGCTGGTACTCCTTTCACTTGACACACTAATACAACTTGTTCCCCTTCCACTCCTTTCAAGTTACTCGAAAAAGCACTGACCACTGGTTGACACGCAAAGTCTTCCAAGTCCAATCTATCCCAAGAATGCGACATTAATCGGGAAGGCAATGCACATTCTGGCACCACAGTTGCTGGTACATTTTTTGTAATCATCCAATCACGTAGAGGTCTCAATGCACAAGTACATTCCCAAGGATTATTTGCCAATTCTAATCCTTTCAAAGATCGTAACGATGCTAGTACTGCAACATGTAGAACCTGTAGCTTATTCCGGCTAAGCTCCAAATATTCTAAAGATGACTCCAAACCAGTAAATCCCCGGAGCTCTATTTCAGCAACCTTACAAGAACTAAGACTGAGGCGTACCAAATGTGGTAATGAAGTGAATGATTCATCTAAAATCTTTGCTATTGGATTACCACTCAGTTTCAGCTCACGTAGTTCGGGAATGGAATCAAATGTGTGTGATGGCACTGAATCAAGTCGGTTTCGAGATAAATCTAACTCAACGAGATTCACTAAAGCGCGGAAGGCATATTGACGTATAGTTCGGACGCTGCATGAAGGAAGATAAAGACGTTGAAGATTAAGAAGTCCCGCTGAGGCAAAGACATCATCACGTAGAGTCGGTAGTCGATTTTCTGAGAGATCTAGCAATTGCGTGGTCGGGTCTAGTCGTGGAGGGATAGATGAGAGTCCGGCGCGTGCACATAGTGCGGATTCTTTGCCGCTGCGCCACTTGCACTCGCAGTGACGTGGGCAATCGGCTGTGGCTACCGCCGCTAGGGCGAGCATCACTAAAACCCACATGCCAACTGCCTGTTCACCCCGCAGTGCAGCGATCGTCTTCACCTTTGGACGTCATACCCTGGTTGTTCCACCTGTGAAAAAATAAAGACAAACTCTGAACTTTCATGCTATCATCACAATTACTAATAGTAATAATAATTAATAGTTTGAAAACCTTAATAGTTAGCTTACTCTAACAATCTCAAAAATGTAATCGAGTTCGAACACAGCTTGCCATATATGTCAAATGGAATACAGGCTATACGAGTATACTCGTAGTCCCTCGGATGTATTACATAATAATTCATTACAGTATAAAATGTAATATATATATATATATAGTATATAGTGTTTATATTATTGGTACAGTAGTATATTAGTAGTATATTTTTTTAATTTTTATCATAGTGATTTGAGTGACACGCGAGAGTTTTTTACAAATGAAACCTTAAATTTTCTCTGTCGTAAATTCAAATAAATTAATATATGTAAATGGTTACTCAGATTAGAAATATTGACATAAAAATTAGGTATTTGCCTATAATGTTGTCGTTTAGCATACAGGCAGTTGAAAGCCGTTTTTTTAACAAATTTAATATTTTGTATTTCTATCCGTCACAATATGTACCCATGGTATCGATACATCTCTGCCAGGGCGGTGGTAATTTTTTAAAGCCTTTCTTGAAGAAGTCGGGTATACGGCAGCCGATAAACTTTTCAAAGGCATATGACACTGCCGAAAAGGTTAAAAAACTCGCACTAAGTACACAGGTCGGAATCGCGACCAACAGAGAAGATCCGGCGAGAAACTTAGTGAGTTGTGTCTCTACGGATTGGTTCACGACTAACAATACGACTAAGAGTTCGACGAGTTCATCGATAATACAATCCATACCTCCAATAATTAGGTCTCTAATAATACTCGTTATCTAGTTAATAATCGTTTATTTCAACATTATTAAATCATGTAACAGCCATCATGGGACTCTTTGGCGGGAACGCGAGGAGTGAAGTTGTGTGATTTCTGTTTCTTCGGGTTTAAATGTGAAACAATGGCGGTTTATTAACTGTTCAATATCTGTGAAAGTGTACAAACGTGGAAAAACGAAACAAAGCCGCTGAACCTAACTTCCCGCGATCCTCAAAAAGTCTACTGAAAAAATCTCAGTATATGACACCACCATTTTACTGAGATTACATTTCATCCCATATCATCTCATCTCATCTCATTTCATTCCATATTATCATTTTTCATAAAAATAAGAATATAAATTAAAATAAGACATGATTTAAAGATCTTAGTTACCAGGTCATAAAATCCCTTAAAAAAATGGCCATCATGCTCACTTGGCAATGATTTTCTTCAATCAAAAAATTAAATTCCTAAGTTAAAAAAATCGATTAAATATAAATTAACAAACAGTTTTTTATTCGCTTTCAAAGTAATACCAACAAAAACATTAGACGGTGGCTTGGCCAGGCATTGTTGATAACCGTGAGCGACGGTAACAACTTACCATCAAGTGGGTCATGGTCGTCAATCTAAAAGAGCAAATACAAAACTTTTTAACACGAGCACGAAGAGGCAAAAACGAACAAACAAACGTAAGTCATTAAAAATGTGAGTTACTTATTTTGATAAATTAAGTTTAAGAAATTTGATAACTCAATTGACAACTTTAAATAATAATTTTTAAAAACCGATTCTCAATGATTTTGTCATAATTAGTGCGTAAATATTAAAGCGTATTAAATACTTTTTTACACAAAATGGCGTAATATTTTATTCGAGGCCACGAAGCAACTCAATCATTTTGTGCACAAAAGCCTTCAGAATACTTCATTTGTGTGCTAAACTTCCCATTGAATATGTCCCGGGGTTAAATGTCCCAATTATTTACGACTACGTTTTCGCGTTTCAGCCTTTTAAAGACCTGCCTCCAAAGAAAATGCGAATGTTTTATTTNCAAAAGCCTACAGAATACTTCATTTGTGTGCTAAACTTCCCATTGAATATGTCCCGGGGTTAAATGTCCCAATTATTTACGACTACGTTTTCGCGTTTCAGCCTTTTAAAGACCTGCCTCCAAAGAAAATGCGAATGTTTTATTTCTTCTTGGCAAATGTTAAAATTAAGTTGAATTTCAAAGCAAAATGAGCATGATTGTGACGATTTACAAAAAAGTCTATTCATAGAGCTTCTGAGTGAGCTTAAGTAAGTCACGTCAAGGTGATTACAAAATGAAAAAGAAAAGCTAAGTCGGTTGAGGTCTTTTCAAATTCTATAATTCATGTCGCAATTGATCCTATTAATACTTACATGAGACGCAGGTGGAATTATTATAGTCGATACTTTATTTTGGAAATTATTCCAAAACACTCGTTTTGTACGATCATATGCATACGAGTAAATTCGAGCTAGGTTTATTTTTAGTTAATAACCCCGCTGACAACACCGAAATTAACATTGTGTTCATGTAATTGCACATCCATCACTATTTAGACAATTCAGAGCCCAGTCGTATAGAGCACTACAGTTATCGACAGATATTTTACACTTTAATTAAACTATTAATTCAGAGAAGACGAACTACGCATTTATTTTATTTCAACGAGGTAGGCGTCCTCCGCCCTACGTTACTCATTTATCTTGTCTTGTTCATTTCACGTAAATGAGTTTCCATGAACATCGGATTATCGGTGTTGTATTTCTTCATCATCTTTCGTCTTTGATAATTAATGTTTGAATTTATCATGAAATTTTATCAAACACCTACTTTGCCCCAATCTGCATTAAAAATGCATCTTATGATACATTCTTTAAATGGACAAAAAATTCCCATCCTTTAAACCACCTGTATTTTTTTTTAATTGACTTCATGTGGTATGTATATCATAGAATGAGTAAGAACGCTAAGTTATTAAGTTTTTAGTATCCGATGAATTTTAATAAATACATATTATTATATTCTTTCTTGCTCCGTGTTATATATAGTTTGAAAAGAACATTAATCTTTTTAGCCAATTTAATCTGTGTTACTGGTATAAAAGATAAAGAATAAGTTTTACGGAAAGGAAACGAACTAGTGAGTTAGACATAAAAAATATTTAATGTTACATTTTCTAATATTAAAAGGGATATTATTTTTTAAGCGTTTTTCAAATACAAACAACTCAAAAAAGATAAAGGATATAAGGAGAGCAATCATTAATCTAAGGTTTATCCATTGTTCATCTCGGGTCCTACAACTTACTGGTACAAGGTTAAATGTTAAGTGTACAAGATGTAAGGGAGTTGTCGTGGATAAGACTCCCGGTGTGTTCGTATCGAGCGATGCGACAATGTCGGTGTTCAAATTCCTTAAGCACGTACTATTTTCTAATGTGCATTTCATTACTTTACTTAACACACCTTTACGAAATACTTTCACTATAATGGTGGAATTCTCATTGTAATATCTATAAGTTCTGGTTAGGACCAATGGGTCTTGAGCTTGTTCGACCGTGTAAAAGACCCTTTTCTCGTTACTCCACAATTTCTAGGAATATACTTGCAGCCATTACTTACCATACATTTTTACTGGTGTTAGGACCTCTTGTGAGTACGCACGGGTAGGTACCACCACCCTGCCTATTTCTGCCGTGAAGCAATAATGCGTTTCGGTTTGAAGGGCAGCCGTTGTAACTATACTGAGACCTTAGAACTCATATCTCAAGGTGGCATTTACGTTGTAGATGTCTATGGGCTCCGGTAACCACCTAACATCAGGTGGGCTGTGAGCTCATCCACCTATCTACCCAATAAAAAATAAAATAAAATAAAGCCTTCCACAAGTATTGGGATACTTGGGTCCCATTTGGAGGGCAAAGCCAAGTTTCCGTCAAAAATGCTGGCAGTACTCAACAGACTACTTCACGTTCAGATAATGAATGACATTTGTTTTACAAAGCACAATTCCAACCCCGTGTGGAGTACTGCTCCCACGTTTGGGCCGGGGCTTCCAAATAGCAGCTACTTCTATTTGACTCCATAGGATAAGGCTGGTCGGATTGTCGTTAATCTCATTCCCATTACTGACGTCCATGAGCGATGGTAACCACTCACCATCATAACGGTCGTATGCTCGTCTGACTACAAGAAAAAACACCGGGCCGTGAATTCGTCTACTAATCTAAGCAATAAAAAACTTGAATGTAGACAAAATTGTCTGTTGGGAAAATGCAACATCTAATATCCTCTTATCCAGAAGATGAAAACCCAAGTCAAACAAACAGCCAGACTTAAAGACTTATTAGTTCTGTGTGTCAAGAAATATTTGTCATAGACAATTTCACAGTAGTTAGCGCTACATCAAAATGTCGACAAATAACATTTTAGCCGTCCGTGACCACAAAAACTGCAAAGCTTCCGAAATATCGAAAATAATACGCGAGACTAACTAACGCGAGACTAAGGTAGTTTAAATAATGTTCAAATAATAATAATATGTTAAACTATTTGAGATTATTTCGTCTCCAAATTATAATCATATCGCTGAATAATGGTGCTTATTTGGCCAAGTTAATTTCAGCCAACTTTAGTATAAATAAATAACATCAAATTGCAAGCTCACCTCAAATACTTAATGCTCTCGGCTTGCGGCGACACCGTGAAACCTGGAACCAAAATTACCACTTAATTCTGTATCGAATTGAAGACTGACTTCCTGATACTTATTGTCTTTTCCTTACACGTTAAGATATTACAACGTAAGTTTATGCCAAAAACGTTTTTTTGTCTAAGTCAAAATTTAATGAGACTAAAATGGATATATCTATACATATAAAAATGAATTGCTGTTCGTTAATCTAAAACTCGAGAACGGCTAGACCGATTTGGCTAATTTTGGTCATAAATTATTTGTGAAAGTCCAGAGAAGGCTAAAAAGGTAGATACATATGAAAATGCCCGGAATTAAATAAAAATAACAATTTTGTTTTTTCTTTGATGTTCCTTTTGTTTGTTTTAAGTTTATTTTATACAAAAGTTTAAGACTTTTATTTATCGATTGAGGCACTATGAAGTCTGCCGGGCTAGCTAGTTTTATAATAAAATACCAGGCTGATCATCCAACATTAGAAAAGATGCGGTATAGACGAAAACTAAAAAGCTGACTGACTGAGTTAAACTGAGCTAACAGTAAACAGTATTTAGGTAAAGGCTATAATTGAAGCCGTTGGCGGGGTAATCGGCAGAAAGTATTTCGTATTCTTAGAAATTGTGATTTTTGAACAATAAAACGACGCATCCGTAGAGAATCTTAAGAAATTTCTGAGAAAACACAATATTACATTGGTTAAATTGAGGATACAGCGAATTTAGGCGGTTATCTCGTGAGATTGGGTGGTTGTAGTGTCAAAATTATTCTGGGATCGAGAATCGACTTTCCCATCGGCTGACTAGAATATTTTTGGAGCAATTGGTGTTACAATACAATTCGTTAAAATACAAAAGGTAGTGTTAAAATAGTAAAAAAAGTCTACCTTGTTGTAAGTCTTGCTTTACAAGAAAAATCTTGTTTTGGGTGTTACATATATTTCTAAAATAATAAATAATAGCATTGTAAAAATATGAACCTACTCCTCCTCTAGAATTATCCTCTGTTAATTTTACTACTTGATGCCTATTAATCAATTGGAACAGGTATTTTTTTCTATGGAAAGTAGCCACTGCTAATCACATGGAACACGGTACAGATTTTCTCGAGTCATATATAGCCAGCAACGGTCCAGCCACGCCTGTGTGTACCTTGCTGTGAATTTTAATGAATAAGCCATTCTCAGTCATGGAACATGGTGTTGTTAAGAGGCTTAACCACATCCTTCATAATGTTAATGGACCGATGATTTGTAAGCCTTTTAAACAAAATATTGCTAGCCACCCTTTAACAGTCTTCTTTTATTCTTTTATAAATTGTTGGTCAATAATTAAAATTTTTCATCAATAAATAGAATTATGTATCCTCCTCCTTTTGCGTGCCGTTTAAGTTGATAATGTTGATTTTACCACCCTTATAATTATTAAATCATCAATTAACTAGTGACTAATGTAGTGACGCTACGTAATTCTGCTTACTATACACATTTCCCTACATATTTTTTTTTTCTTCCGGACAGGATATCTCATCTTTCTCTCATTATCTGACTAGATTTTTAGTAGACTATATACGTATATAAATTATTCTCGAATTGAAAGCTCTCACAAAATTGTCTTTATCATCAAACACTTTTAAAATTATGTCGGACAGTAAGTATACCAGTCAGACAAAAATGCTACAAATGTTAAAATTTCAATGAAATTCAAAAGTGTTAGCTTTTAAAGGTAAAATAATAAAAAGACACAAATCATTAAAGAAAAAGTCCTTTTAAAAACCTTTGTAATGCTCTAACTTTAGGGGTTGAGAAGCTCTTTGAAGTTAATATTCATTTATTAGTCAAAAATACATTAGTCAAAATGACTTATAGACTATATAATATATTTTTTTCTTGCCAATCTCCTCAATCCTGAATCGATCTTACGAGATAATTCGTACATTATCCTTTCCATTGGTCTTTATGTGATTGTGAGCATTCCTATGCATTCCTCATCTCAATTCTCATAAAAACAAGTATACTACGGTACGAAGCAAGGCATTAAGAAACGCTTTCGCACATGTGCCTATCTGTTTTATTTTTACGCACCAATTTGAGGTCTTCGCTTTAACGGCGACATTTGCGTGCGGAATGAGTTCGGGTCATTCGGCGTGTAATTGCAGTGTGCCCTTTCGCTATCACGCGATTGCGTGCTGCCGCGGCCTCTCGACTCTTTGTTGCAAGTTTTTAAAAACTGTAAATCTTACTATTCTTAAACAAGACGAAATTAAATTCTATCTTAGAGTGTTAATTTATAAAGTAAGTAATGTTCAAACAAATATTATGATTTCCTCGAAAAATAAAACTTGCATTCCAATGGATTTGTTGCCATACTGAAGTTATCTAAGATTGATGTTTTAAAAATAATCAGTCGTTAATGAATACGGGATTTAAAGTTTTTTTTTCCAAATTTATTTAAACTTTGCAGAATATTCTAGACGTGATTTTGTATTCTTATATTAAATTGCTTTATGCTATCATTTTATTATATCACTATGACTATTTTAAAGAATATAGTACATGCTGTGTCTCACTATGATTACAGTGACAAGTACCACGTACTCTGTATCTTTAGTATCCACATACCACAAGCTATTAACTAATAACCCGTTTGGGTCACTTTAAAATTTAGAAACCAAAATAAATCAATAAATCTGTAAACAAATCAGTGTTGTTTCTTAAACTTTCTCTTTGGTATGAATTCTACAAAAACCGCGGGAAATAAAGCCCTTGCAATATTTTTCAGAGCAGAAGGTTGTGTACGAAAGGTTGCGCGCGGCTGCTCGCTCTCGGTCTGCTGACGACTTGTCCTATGTATGTATATTTATGCATACATATGTATGTGTATTCAGCTCTGGTTTTCATGTGCACCCATTCGGCACAGACACCAAGTTTTTATATTTGCTATTATCGTGGATGTTTTACATAATACAAGGTAATTTACAACATTTGGGTAAACTAAAAGATTGAATTTCAAACATGAGACGAGTATTTAAATAACACTACCGGTTAAGATAATTTAAAGGTAATCTATATATTAATACGTGAAGCTAAAACTTTGTATCCCTTTTTAGGAAAATTGCGCGGACGGAGGAGCATGAAATTTTCCACACTTATAGAGAATATAGAGAAGAAGTGCACAATGCTAATATTTTTTTAAATAATGCATAAAAGATACATTAAATCAATAAAGAAAACATTACACACACTACATACCATTTATTTGACGCACACACGCATGCATACTATTTATTGTCACACTTTTGTTATTGACGTCTGTTGTCAAATTGAGAATAGATTAAATATTGTTTGTCTTTATTAATATTTTTTTATAGTGTAGCTTTGGCGAAATATGTTATTATAGAAGTATAAAATACAACCATAATAGTGTACAAACTTACAGTTCCAATAATTATAGTCGAATTTCGACTACTGCGGGACCCAAGCGAATAGTTTAAGTATTAAAAGTAACTGAACATTTTTTCTTTCAATTTATAAGCAAAGCTTTCATGAAAGCAGAAATGTTAGCCATGAAAGTCTTTTAGGAATCCCACAAAAATACCTCCCGATCTTAGTCCCTGTCCCGCTATTACTCGCCTTACAGCCCACAGATCGGTGTGGAGAAAGGAAGCCAAAATTCACTTTGACTTTCTTAGCCAGGAGACTCAGTGACCTATTTAACATTAGTGAGCATTTAAATATTACTAGGTATGTCTATTTATATTTTCGTGTTTTATACGTTTCCAAGTCGTTTATGTGAATGTCTTGTGAATTACTACATTTTGAAGTCACGTTATTCTGGCTCACAAAAAAAAACACATCAAGGCACGATATTGGACCGCGAGTTATTTAAACAAATGGCTTTCGGTATTTCATGTATTTAGTAGTTGTAACAAAGCGTTTTTCTTGCAGTATTGAGCATCTTAATATAACTTCAAATGCTTCATGGCAATACTATGGCATTCATTTTAGCTTTAGAGTTCGCAAAGAAACAGCGAACATGGTCTTATAAAACCTTGAATAAGTAAACACTTCGATAGGTTGCTTAAATGCTTATAATCATCATAATATAGGGATATGTTAAAAAATACGGATATATTTTTATCGGTTGGATAAATCGCACTTTTGTATCTGTGGTCCAAATTCAAGAAATTTTATCATAGTTTATTTACACTTGTTTAATGATAAATATACATTTGCCGTTTTTATAGCTCGTTGTCATTTTTTAATAGACTTTGAGTTTGATTAGCTGTTTCAGAATCGATGGTTTTTTTGGTGCTTAAAGTTCATAATATAATAATCGATGCCCTTTTACTCCCACGATATCCACAGAATCACTTAATTTCGAGTTATATCGGGTTTTGCTATAGTTATTTCGTGATCGTAGATGAGACGGCATGGACCCCAGCCAACAGTGAGGGTCGGCTCCTTCAGCCGGTTTCCTTGAAACTCCAGCGTCCTAACCCCGGTAGTGCACCAGCTCTTCATTCGGTTTTTGTCAGTGAGCTCGTCTCTCACACATACTCGTATATATATCGAGCTTTTTTTTTTTATTGCCTAGATGTGTGCTCACAGCCCACCTGGTGTTAAGTGGTTACTGGAACACATAGACATCTACAACGTAAATGCGCCACACACCTTGAAATATAAGTTCTAAGGTCTCTGTACCCCACCCTTCAAACCGAAACGCATTGCTACTTCACAGCAGAAATAGTCGGGGTGGTGGTGCCTACCCGCGCGGACTCACAAGAGGTCCTACCACCAGATATACATATACCCAGACTTCTTCAACTGTGTTGTAGTCACCCCTAGATCTTCTGGTATACTGTAATTATTATACTCCTATGCCGATCTTTCTTCACTTTTAAAAATATCCCATTGATATTATCCATAACAGATCAACTAATTAGATTCAGAATCGATTGTATTATTATTCGTAGATATTCGTAGATTGACTAATTTTGGCGGACATAAAGTCATCGTGGCCTG